GCTTATTTGCTCAGGACCATGTTAAAGCAGTGTGTATGTGTATGTGTGTGTAAGAAAAAGAGTGAGCAAAAGAGAGTAACTACATATAAAGTTGGATGTAATCTAGTCCCTGAACTCACCTACATTGTATTCATGTATATATTTCATTTATATTTAATGTAGGTAAATTCAGGGACTAGATTACATCCGGTTTTATATGCAGTTACTCTCTTTTGCTAGCTCTTTTTCATATATATATATGAAAAAAATATATATATATGATGACCTTCAGCAATTTATTGAAGTATAAATGTACAAATCACATACACATACACACACACACACACACAGCTCTGCTTCTGCTTCAAGGGATTTGGAGAAGGGAATATAATAAAAAATTAACCTCATCAGATGTTCTACTCACAAAAAGAGGTTTGAGCAGAATCTTTACAACCTTTGAAAGCATCTTGCCTATTAAAGAGACAATGCCCATCACCTCATTAGGAGTGCTTTCCAAAGCTAGAAACAATCAGTTGTTCTTTCCTCCCCCATATGAATTGATACTAAGGAGCTGCAACAAATTCTCTCCTTACTTTGACAAAATCCTAGGCATGATACTTACCAAGTGTGTTTGACTGCTTGAGGATCAGATTCTCAAACCAAAATGGCCATTGTGGAATAGAAAGAACAAACAGCCTTGCTTCAAGCTCAACGTGTCTCAAATGCAAACAAAGCTCATCATTTTCACCCTTCCCATCCATGTCCATTTACAACATGGGCGACCTGATCCCTCAACTTCCACCCATTGCACCATTTTTCTTCCTTTCTTCCAATAAATACTTGCTGAGTGTGTCTACAATTTGTCAGACAGGAGACAAGGCACTGGTCTCTCCCTCAGAGAGTTTACAATCTAGTTGAAGAGACATATTTAAATGGGTAACTGGAGTCATCAATAACTTACCTCATATTTATTCCTTGGTCTAAATCATCTAATCTCTTGTCTCCTCTTTTCCCTCTGCATTTTCTCCTTCTGTCCCCTTACACAGCCCCCGAGACCTCATATGTGTATGTCTATGATACTTTTCTCTGAGGACCCGAGTTGGCTTTCTCTCCTAGTCAGTGTCCTCCAAACTTCTCTTAGAATAACCTTTCTAAAAGTGCTTTCACCATTTCACCTCCCTCTTCAGAAATACTCAAGAGCAACTTACAGCCTCCTACAATCAATCTGAATTTCACTCCCAGCTTCCCAAGTTCTTATGTTGCCTTGTACCAAGTTAGTCTGATTTCCCACAGACTCTCTCCTTCTATTTGGCCATTTTCCTGTTGTCTCTTGGATCTACTCTTTTGCTTATGTGTTTATAATCATGTGGGTTCTTAACCTAGAATGCTTTTCCTTCCATATTTCCAGTTTCTACAAAAGCCAGCCAAACCCCACTACACTTTTATGAAATACATTAGCCCTTCTCTCAATCTTTTCTGTGAGAAAGGCTGATTTTGTTGATTGAATACAAATGGATTTATGAGAAAACCCAGTCAGAGTCAGGGTAATGACCCAAACCCCAGTACTCAGAGTTGCAAAACTGGGGAAAATTTTTCCAATAAATCCATTCACATTTCAGAGCAGGGATCTAATTTTCAAAGCAAGAGTAAGTATTTTAGGATTCGTGGGCCAGACAGTCTCTGTTGCAACTACTCAACTCTGCTAGTGTAAAGGCATCCAAAGATTAAATGTAAACAAATGGGCATGGCTGGTTCCAAAAAACTTTATTTGCAAAGATGGGCAGTGGGCAGAATTTTGCCTTCAGGCTACAGTTTGCTGATCTCCAATATAGAGGAAGAAGAGTGGATACTAGTGAGGATCTTCTTTTAGATGGCAAGGGCAATAAGAAGTCCCTTAGATCAGCTTCTCATTTTCCTGGGTAGTTAAACTTACTCCTTTATGACAGTATGCACCCTATGAGTAGATCCCCAGTCTAGAGGTCATGTTGATAGGAATTTGGGCCGTGACTAACTGTTTAGCTATTTTGGTCAGTGAAGAAGAGATAATGAAATCTACTTCTTTACCTTTGACCTGGAGATAGGTGAGGAAAATGTCCACTGTTTATTCTCCTACTGCTCCCTAGACCAGCAGGAGGCTTACTTGGTAGAGTCACAAGGTATAAGAGTTCATCTTCACCAACATGTCTATGTGCCAGGCACTGTTCTCGCACTTTGACATGTAAGTCCTTTATCATAATCTCTATTTTTCAGATGGAAGAAACAGAGTAGTCAATGTAAGCCAGTGATCCACGATAGACATGGTTTTGGTGCTTATATAAGTATGTTTTGAGAATAAGATACCACCTATCCCTCACCAAGATTGATGTGAAGTTGAATGTGATACAATTACGAGAATAGCTCATTACCTCTAGTCCTTACAATTACAACAACTAATCAAGAAGGCATGTCTTCTTGACTTTAACCCATGGAAACATGGGCTCTTAGGATGTAAATGGTTTGTCCAACTTTACCTGTTTAGAATGGTCTATGCCAGGATTCAAATCTAAACAAATCTGGCTTAACAAACCTTTGGCCATTCCTTGGAGCCCCTTTATCTCCCTAGTAACCCTGACTTAAAAACCATAAAGCAATTGGTAAAAGTTGTGTGACAGATATATTTATAACAACCCAAAAAGTGTAGCTGCTGAGGCTGTTTATGTACAGCCAAACAGCACATGAATTTTGGTTCCTTTGATTAGAGATTTAGGGTCATGGTTTCTGGGACATCCCAGTTAACTGACCTAATAATGTTTGATGCTTCTGTTCTACCTCATAGTTTGTTGCATAGTGCCTGGGGTCTTAAAAGTTTACAAGAGCATCCAAGGTATACAATGGTCTCTCTCACTTAGAACAACAGAAGAAGGAGAGTCAGGAATAGGAGGAGGAAAAGAATGGCCTCCTTTGCCCTGAGACCAATAGAACTAGTACCTGGCTACCATTACTGAATATTTTGATCAAAGATTCTATAGCAGAATCCTGATAAAAAGGGGGGGAAATGCAGAACTGAATTTCAATTTTTTATGGAATCAAGATTTTCTGGAGCCATCAAGGCTGGATAAAACCCCCAAATTATTGCCTTAATATAATCTCTGAATCTTAAACCAAAAATGTCCCTTAAAGTTTTCTTAAAACTAAATGATAGTTTACTTTAACTAATAAAGAACACCTGGCCTTGAGCATTATGCTTTAAGATCTCTCTCTGTGGAATCATATTGACAATACCAACTTGAAAGATTAGATCGGACCCTTCGGGGTCAGTGAGTTTATGTTTAAGGGAGAAGAACAACTCAGGAAAGCAAGGTGTGAAGATGATTGTACGACTCGAAGAATGTAATCAATGTCACTGAATTGTACATGTAGAAACCATAAATTGGTGTATGCTTTTGCTGTGTAATTTTTCAAGAACAATGAAAAACAAATTATTTTTAAAAATGAATAAATAAAATAAAAATCATAAAGCTTTAAAGTGCTATAAAAGACCTCAAATGATTGCTCCCTCATCAAGCTCAGTTGGCAGAAAATAGTCATTGTTCTACATCCTATTTTGGTGAATAGCAACTTGGGTCTTAAAAGCTTACAAACGGCCATCTAAGATGCAGCTATTGGTCTCTCTTTGTGTGGAGCAAAGAAGAGCAAAGAAAATCAAAGATACGTGGAAACAATTAGTCCAAGGCACTAGTGGAACATGGGAACCTCACCCTCCATGACCCTGAGACCAGAAAAGCTACATGATGTGCAGCTACCACTGACAGCCACTCAGAATCAAAATGAAACTCACTGCCATTGAGTTGATTCTAACTCACAGCAATTCCCATCGGGTTTCCAAGGCTACAAATCTTTACAGAAGTAGATAGCTTCATCTTCCTCCCATGGAGCTGTTACTGGGTTCAAACTGTTGACCTTCTGATTAGCAGCCCAATGCCTTAACCACACTGCCACCAGAGCTCCTTGACAACCACTCAGAAAGGGATAAAAATTGGAGATCCTGGACAGAGTGGGAGAAAAATGTAGAACAAAACTGAAAATCATAAAAAAGACCAGGCTTATAGGTCTGACAGAGACTGAAGAAATCCCCGAAACTATGGCCTGTAGTCACTCTTTGTGCCTGGAATTGAACTCACTCCCGTGGCTTAACTTTTAGCCAAACAACAGACAGGTCTATGAGGTGAACAATTATACCAGGGAGGTGCACTCCTGAGAATAATCAACCACAGGAGATCAGAGGGTCAGTATTTGCCCAGGGAGATAGCCCAGAGGGCAAGAATACATAGGAAAGAAGGACATAGGGAAAAGGTAACCACAGGGACCAAGTGGGATGAGACCTCTTACATTGTGGGGATTGTAATCAATGTCATGACACAAAGTATGTATGAACTATTGAATGGAACACTGTAAACTTTCATCCAAATCACAAAAAAAAAAAAAAAAAAAAAAAAAGCCTGACCCAAACTGTATAAGCCAGCCGGGGAAAACAAAAAATAAAAAAGGACTGCTCCCTGTGAATGAATAAATTAAGTCAGCTTCAAGGGATCTAAGGTCCTGGGTGGTGAAAGCTGTTTGCAATTGGCTCTTAACTAAAGGTTGGAGGTCCAAATCATCCAGCAGTTCCGTGGGAGAAAAGCCTGGCAATCTACTTCCCTAAAGATTACAGCCAAGAAAACTCAGTTCTCTTGACCTCAGTTCTACTGTATAATACACAGGGTCACCATGAGTTGGAATCAACTCATTAGAAATGTTTTTGTTTTTCATGGGGTCTAGTATCCCTGAGAAAGGCCTCAGAGAGGTAAACCACCAACATCTATACTTTGAAAACTAGCGCCTAGGCAGAAACAGCAAAAGCAGGTATAGCCCCTTTTCCTTCACCATAAACCCAGGTCTCTGGCTTTGTCTCCTAATCCCAACTGCGTAAGTGGACTTTTATGATGATGCTGCTTCCCTCACATACACCGGTGATGCCGAGGCGGAGGGAGGCATGTTCTTACCAGCCCGTCATATTAAAGTCCCTGTAGAGCATCTTCTTTCCAAGTTCTTTTCTTTGCACTCTCCTTGGAAACTCCAAATGTGTGAACTCATTTCCCAGCAAGTGAGGCTGCATGAATGCCTAATAGCACAAAGAAAAAAAATATACATTTATTTAGAGGAAAAAGAAATAAGACTCAAGGATGCTTTGCAACTCGAGGCAGTCTGTACTTCAAGAACAAAAATGAAAAAACAATCTCATATTTTAAGGGAAGGAAATAGATTTATAGGAGGAAAAGACTGGTGATCCAGTTCTGAAAATTGGCCAGTGGAAAACTCTACGCTCCTGGAGATCACCTTTTAGCCAAACGACAGAGACGCCTACGAAGCAAACAATACCTGAGAGGAAAGAGCTCCTCAGAACAATGAACCATATGAGACCAAAAGGACAGAGTTTGTCCAAAAACAAAGTTCAGATGGCAGGAAAGATGGGTGAATGGAAATGGGGAACCTGGGGAGGAAGTGGGAAGAGTGTTGTTACGTTGAGGGAATTGCAACTAATGTCACAAAACAGAATGAGCATAAATTGTCGACTGGGAAACGAATTTGTTCTGTAAACTTTCAGCCAAATAGCCAAAAGTGTCCAAAAAAAGAGAAAACTTGCTGGGTCATGATGCAACTGCTCTTGAGGACTGTATAGGACCAGGTAGTGTTTCGTTGTGCTGCATGGAGTCCCCACGATTTGGGGGTTGACTTGATGGAGTTAACAACCACCACCATGATAGAGTTAGGAATCTAAATACTAATGAAATATCAACAAATTCAAATCATACACTTAATTTATAAAGGGATCATGAAATTGATTTATAAAGGGATGCAATGTTTTCATTAGATGTAATATAAACCAAAACCAAACTCACTGCCATGGAGTTGATTCCGACTCATAGTGACCTCCTTTGGGTTTCTGAGGCAGTATGGAAATAGATTGCCCAGTCTCCCTTCCAATATAATATAGTAATTGTAATTGAAGACATGTAATCAAGGACATAAGGAAAATGGACTGAGCTTTTCCGAGGATTTACTTTTCAAATCCGAAACGGTTTCACTTTTCTGAACGGCATGTTAATGAGGTACAAGGGAGGAAAGCTAACCCTGATTCTTTCCTCCTTGGCTTTCTCGGCTCTCCTCTGGCTCACACCCCTAGTTAACATGGCTTTATTTCCTGACTGTGAATGTGAGTCTCCACATAAACACAATGGCCTGAGAGGGCGGGTTGGGACGAGATACACCAGGCGGGAACTTTCTCTTGGACTCCCTCCATTTTGCTCTGCAGTAATTTGATCATGTAACTGGAAGACTATTCCAGAGCAGATGGCTTCTCTCCCTCCCCCAAATCTCTGTTCACACTACAAAAATCTCTAGCAAACAGCCACTTAGGGAATTGCTTTGAAACAACAAACAGTCTCATTGTCACACTCTAAATTCAAATCCAGCTATCCGAGAGATGAAATGCTTATGCATTAACTTCCCGGCTCAGGGATCACAGCCTGTAAGCATACCTGCACAAGAGCTTTCCACATCAAGCAGTACACGCCGCCCTTGTTTATTAGCAGCCTGGGTAAGACGGAGCTTCTATTTTTTTTGTTGGGGAGAAGAGTGGGCAGAACAAATGACAGCCTGGCAGTGTAGGAAAGCCCAGTGATCCCTGCCACAGGACAGATAGCTATGTCCTCAGTTTACTGGAAAATGGGCAACTCCTTCAGACTCATTCCCAGGACCCAATGCAGACAGACCTTCCACTGTCTCTCATGGAGGCTTGGAGGCAGGAGCTGGTTATTAGTCATTGGAAGCTAAGGGTTGAGAAGCCAAAAGAAGCAAGCTGAATTGTTGCCAGGCTAGTCAGACTTGGCCAGATATGAAACTCTAAGGCAGTAATTCTGAGTCCTGGGGACAGGACACAACTGACAGTGAGAAAGAGAACCACGCCTTATTGTCCATCGCACCAGTGCCAACTGCCTTTGAGTCGACTCCAACTCATGGTGACACCATGTGTGTCAGGTAATTGTGTTCTGTAGTTTCTTTTTAAATTATTGTGTTAAATATACAGATAACAAAACATCTGCCATTTCACAAAAGAAGACACTGAGAGGTACACAAGAATAAAGGACAATTTTGGTAAAGACAATAACATATACAGTCTTGCAATAGCAGTAATAACTGACAATAATTTGTGAGTAGATACATAGGTAAATACATATGCTAAATAGGTAAGGAAGGTTGTATGGAGGTTGGATACATATATAGGTATTGTTGTTTTTGTGTGCCGTGAAGTTGGACCCAATTCATAGACACCCCTCCTTGGGTTTCCGAGGCAGTATTACTATGGAAGTAGATTGCCCAACCTTCCTTCCGAGGAGTGGCTAGTGGGTTTGAACTGCCAGCCTTCTGGTTAACAGTCAAGTGCCTTAAGCACTATGCTACCAGAGGTATGTTGTTGTTGTTGTTAACAGTCAAGTGCCTTAAGCACTATGCTACCAGAGGTATGTTGTTGTTTTTGTTGTTTGCCGTGGAGTCGGCCCCGACTCACAGCGACCCCTCCTTGGGTTTCCGAGGCAGTATCACTACGGAAGTAGGATTGCCCAACCTTCCTTCCAAGGAGTGGCTGGTGGGTTTGAACCGCCAGCCTTCTGGTTAGCAGTCAAGTGCCTTAGCCACTATGCTACCAGAGCTCCCTATAGTGGTGGCTATTTCTACATACGTACTTGCATATGTGACACATACACTCATATATATAACAGAACATATGAGGGCACAATTATAGAAACTACTTAGACATCAAGACTGAACCAATGGACATGAAGGCTAAGGGACCATAGCTTTGGGGCCCATCTAGGTCAATTGGCAAAACACAGTTCATAAAGATAACATTCTATATCCTGCTTTGGTGAATATCATCTGGGGTCTTAAAGCCTCTGAGCAGCCATCTAAGAAGAAACTATTGCTCTCTTCCTGCCTGGAGCACAGGATAATGAAGAAAAATGAAAAATCAAGGAAGCAAGTAGTTCAAAGGACTAGTGGCCCACACGAGCCACAGCATCCTCTAACCTGAAACCAGACGAACTAGATGGTACCCAGCTACCCCCACACACCACTCTGATCAAGACCACAGTAGAGCGGCCTGAGAAGAATGGGTAGAAAAATAAAAATATTGAACAAAATTCAAAGCCAAAATAGAAGACCAGACTTATTGGTTAAAAAGACTAGAGGGACCCCTGAGACAATTGCCCTGAGAAAACCTTTTAACTTGAAATTTAAGACACTCCCAGTAGCCATCTTCCAGTCAAATAACAGACAGGACTATAAGAAAAAAAAAGGAAGAAGAAAGTGCTCCTCAGAACAATCAACTATGTAAGACTCAATGGGACAACATTTGCCCTGTACCAAAGATGAGAAAATAGAGAGAGGGACAGGCAAACCAGACAAATGGGAACAGGGAACCCAAGGAAGAAATAGGGAGAGAGCTGACACACTGAAGGGACTGCAATCAATGTCATTGAAGAATTAGTGTGCAGACTGTTGATTGGGAAAATTAATTTGCTATGTAAACTTTCACCTAAAGCACAATAAAATGCGCTATTTCAACAATCTTGCTATTTCAACAATCTTCACACGTACTGTTCGGTGACAGAATTATGTTCATCATGGTCAACCATTAACCCAGACAGCATTTTTAATGGCCAATTTTTCAGAAGCAGATTGCCAGGTCTTTCTCTCCAAGGTGCCTCTGCATGGACTCAAACCTCCTCTAGCCCTTCGATTAGCGGCCAAGTGCATTGACCATTGGCACCACCAAATGACTCTCTGTTTGCTGCAGCTTCAGAGTGATTCCAGCTCTGGCAGGAATTCTGCATCATCTTTGAAGTCTGAGAACCCCTGCTAGGGATGAGGCTTGGGCTGCTGATGGTTTTCAAGAAAACTCAAATACTGGCTTCACAGAATGTTTCTCCTGGGAAGGAAAGAAGGGAACTAGTACTTAATAGGGCAATTCAGTGGCGTGGGCTTTGGGTGAGGCCAAGCTCTACATTTATAAGCTGTGTGTTTCTAAAGAGGTTATTTAATTTCTTAGGCCTCAGTTTCTTTCAATCACAGAAGGACAAATATAGTATTAGTTCATTATTGTAAAAACTCAAGGAAAGGTTTATATGCAGAAGGAAACTTTCTTTGTTGGTTACCAGGGTGGGAGGGGAGGGGAAGGAACACAGCAGGGAAAAAAAATGCATTGACCATGTCACTTTAGTTTTGTGTATTTCACTGTACGTAAATTATATACCAATAAAATGTACTTAAAGAAAAAGATTAATTATATATTTATCTCACAATGATGTTTTTAATAATAAATGGAATGACTTCTTTATTTACTTATCATGGTTCTCTCTGCTCATAAAAATAAAGATAATAATTATTACATCCACCTCATGATGACTGAGTCCTATTATATTCCAAGTACTGTGCTAAGTGCTTTGTGCATTCTAATTTTATCCTTCAAACAACCCTATGGTCAGCAGTGGCTACATAATTTGTGGGGCCCAATGTAAAATGAAAATGTGAAGGCCCTGGCTTAAGATTTTCAACATGGTGACAGCAAAACATTAAACCAAGGTTGAGGCACTTCTAAGGGAGAGCCTGTGTGACTGTGTAAGTCACACATCCTGAAACCAGTCCTGCCTAGGGGGTATTATTGTTAATGTGCCATTGAGTTGAGTTTCAACTCATAGTAACCTCATGTGAGTGATAATATTTTATCCTTCTTTTATTTGGTCTAGGAGCTCTGGTGGTGCTGTGGTTAAAGCACTGGACTGCTAACTGAAAGTTGGCAGTTTGAATCTAAACCCAAATTGCTCTGTGGGAAAAAGATGAAGTAGTCTGCTTCTGTAGAGATTTATAGTTGTGGAAACCTTATGGACCAGTTCTTCTCTTTCCCATAGGGTTGCTATGAGTCTGAATTGACTCAATGGCAGTGGGTTGGGTTTGGTTTTGGTTTATTTTGGTCGGTTCATGAAACTAAGGAACAGAGTTATACATGGTCAATGTACAGAGTGTCTTTAAATTACCCATTATTATCTCTCAGAACTATGGGACTGT